ATGGATGGATGAATTATACTGCAGGCCTGGTTTTAGTCGCAAACGTTTCCATGATGACGAAGCATTGAAAGAATTTGTACGGAAACAAATTGGTTTCGAAACAGTCAAAGACTCGCTGCAGCCCTGGTTCCTGTTGATAAAACTCTTATCTGATTGGACCCCCCTGCAGACCTGGTCCTGGGCCTGGATCCGGGCCTCCTCCGCCTCACTCAGTCTGCTCTTCAGCTCCTTCTGCTCCTCGCTCAGTTTGTGGACCTTCACATTTTCCACCTGCAGCTCTGAGAGCTGAGCAAACATCGACCAATCAGCTTTAAGAATCTTGAGCAGACCCCGCCCCCCCAGCTGCACCTGGACAGTACCTGGTGTTGGAGCTCCTGGTTCTGGACTCTCAGTTTGCAGGTCTCTTCCTGCAGAGTGACAGAGGCCTGCTCCTCCTGCTCCTGCAGCGCCTGTCGGAGCTCCTCCTTCTCCCTCATCAGCTTCCTGACACCGGCCTCCAACTCCTCCACCTGAAACAGGAAGCAGCCAATCAGAATGATGGGGCCGCAGTCCAGTCATAGTCAACGTGGCGATGTCAGAGGTGGCGGGCTCACCCTGCTCTGAGCCTCCTGCAACTTCCTCTGTAGCTCCGTCGCATCCTGGGCGTGGCTGAGTTTCTCCTGACTGATGGTGGCAAGCTGAGAGCGAAGGAGCTCCGCCTCCGACTCCAGAGACAGCACGCTCTGCTGCAGCTTCTCCACCTGAAGGAATAAAAGGCTCTGTGATCATGTGACACAGACTGAGGCTTAAAGCTAGCTAACACTAACGTCCACTCGACGACCTCGTCCAAACGCCTTCACGCATGGCTGAAAGAGCGGAGTGTGACGTGGCCTGACCTTTGACCCCGAGGGTTAAACCTGTCCTGCGTTAAAGCTGCAGGTGTTGCTGTGCATTTTCTTGTTTTTCACATTTAATGTCTGCGATATCGACCTTTGTATTTCGCTCATCGGCGTCTCTCAGCAGTTTGGCCTTGTCCTCCTCCACCCATTGCAGCTTCAGAGTCACGGCGCTGAGCTCCGCCTCCAGCACCGGCTGGCGCTCCAGCTGAGAATGAAGCACAGCGAGGTGAGTGTCCTTGTTGACCTCATTAACAGCTCTGAGCTGGGATCCTGCACAGTTTTAATTCAGAACCTCCTACCTTCTCCTTGGAGGTGCTAAGCTCCGCCTCCAGCAGCTGTTTCTCCTGTGTCCAGGACGCCTGCAGTTGCAGCTTCTCCCGCTCGTGCTGCAGCGCTGCGTCCTGCAGCCGCCGCACCTGAAACAGCAGAAACCGTTCATCCGTCAGAGCTCACGGCAGATACACTCGTCGCCACATTCTCGACCCATCCCGTTCACACACTGGGGTCTCCGCGCTGCCGTAGCGGAGTGGCGACACCTCGCCACCGGTAAAATCTAAAGTGAAACGAGTGAAGAAAAAACAAAAGCGACAAGTGTGAGCATCATCGACGCTCAGCTTACCGTCACATGCTCCTCTTCCTGCTCCTTAGAAACCGTCGCTAGGCGCTCGTGCAGCATACGGACTGATTCCTGGTCTCCACGGAGACGGGTGCTGAGCTCAGCGTTGTCGGTGCTCAGCTGCAGGTTCCTGCTGCTCAGATCCAGAACCTCCTCACGATATCTGGAGTTCTGCACACATCATCATCATCATCATCATCAACCATAATCTGGATTTCTAAAACCTGAACCAGACATATCCTGGTTTGGAGAATCAGAAGCAGTGTAATCGGATTACATTTAAAGTATTAAACCCTGAGCGACACAGACATAAACGTGTTTGTAAAATCAAGAGAAATCTGAGTCTGGTGCAGACGGGTCACAAACACCTCGGCTTAAATCAGCAGATATTTCAGTGGAGTTTGGTCAGCGCTCACCTCTCTGTGCAGCCTCTCTTCTTCTTCTCTGCTTCTCTCGTGTTCTCTCTCCATCTCCTCCAGTTTCCTCCTGCAGGAGGAGAAGACGGCGTCATGTGGCTCTGCAGCATTAAATTATTAAATTTAACATTAAAGGGCGACAACATTAGAAGGATGCCGAGACCAGAGGAGAGTAAACCGGGTCAAGCTATCTCAGGTTTACGCTGAGCTCCTGACTCATCACGGCCCATGGTCACCTTTAGCCAATCAGATGACAGCAGGTTCTGCCTCACCTGCTCAGAAACAACCACCTGCCTGCACACCTGCGCAGCCTCAGGCGTGAGCTGCAGCTAGAGCAGCGGCGCTCACCTCTTCTTGGCAACCTCATCCTCCATCTTGTGGACTTCCTGCTGCAGGGCGCCGAGTCTCTCCTGGAGCGCTGCGTTCTCTGATCGGACCTCCTCCAGCTGAGTCCTGCGGCCCAAAACACAGAATCAGAACCGCGCTCTGCACCTCAGACAAACGCAGCGTCGTGATTGGACAGCAGCTCAGCCAGCGCTGTGAACACGCGCTATATTCATACAAGCGATGGTGCACAAACTGAAACACGCTGTGGTCGGAGGAGGCGGCTCAGAAACCAAAGGAAGCCGTTATTAATATCTTCAGCTCAGCACCTGCACAGGTGGGCACCATCGCTGCAGCCAGCAGTGGGCGAGGCTTCGTCTGGTTTCACAAACCGAGAGCACAGAGGCTCCACACGTCATCGTCATCATCATCATCATCATCGTCAATCAGATCAAACAGACTTGAATTATGAAGAAAGAATTTAAGGAAAGAAAAGGACAGACAGGAGGAGGGCGGAGTCAGTGATAAGTATTTTCATGCATTTAGATGATGTCATTCGGTTAGCGATGGGGTGAAGGGTCAGTCTGCAGCAGTGCATTGTGGGTCAGGCAGACGGAGGTTAGTCTCCGGTCTCCGGTCCGGCTCATGCTCCACAAACCTGCGTGCACCGGCCGGCTCCACCAGCTCTTCCAGAGCCAGAACCAGGTCCTCTAGCTCCAGCAGCTGCTTCGTCATCTTCTTCTTCTCCCTCTCCAAGTCTTCCTCCACCGTCCTCTGCCGGCTCTCGGAGTCCCGCAGAGCGGTCTGCAGCTGGAGGAGCTGCTCGCTGCTCGCCGGCTCGACCTGACCGGTCTTGGCGTTGAGCTGCTTGCGGAGCTCCAGGACCAGGTCAGCGGTGTCGTTGAGCTGGGAGCTGAGGTCTCGGAGGTGGTCTCTGAGAGAAGAGATCTCCTCCTCCATCTCCACGATCTGGGTGGAGAGCTGGTCGGTGAGCCGGATGTAAGTCCCGTTCTCCTGGCTCAGACGCCACACCTCCTCCTTCTCCTCCGCCAGGCTGGACCGGAGCAGCGAGGTCCGGCTCTGCTCCTGCTCCAGAGCCTCCTGCAGGGTCTCCTCGCCGCTCCTCCTCCGGTCCAGCTCCTCGGAGACGCCGTCCAGCTGCAGCTGCAGGTGGTCCACGGCCATGGCCTGCTCCTTCAGGTCCTGGATCAGCCGGGCGCGGTCCGTCTTAAGAGAGTCCAGTTCAGCCGCAAGTCTGGAAACTGACTCAGCTTTGCTCCTGAGCGCCTCCTGCAGGTTCTCCAGCTCCGCCCTGAGGGAGGAGACCGTGTGCTCGCGGGCTCGGAGCTGAGCCTGTTGCTGGGCGACGGTGCAGGAGAGCCGGTTGCAGCTTCCTGCCGCCTCCTCTCGGTCCTGCAGGAGGCACGCGGACGCAGCCTGCAGCTCCTCCAGCTCAGCCTTTGTGTGGGACACCTGAACCTGAAGCTCCTCCTCCCTGCTCCTCGCTAGCAGCAGCTCCCCCTCCGCCGAGCTCTTCTCCGAGGCCAGGCGTTTGTTCAGAAGCTCCTGAGACTCCAAGAAGGCGATACTCTCCTCCAGCTGCGCGCAGGCCTCCTCCAGCCGAGCCTCCAGCTCCCCGCTCCGCCTGTAAGACGCCTCTAGGTCCTCCTTCAAATTGGCCTCTGATTGGCTGGACGCCCGCAGGACATCCTGCAAACCGGAGACTTGCTCTTTCAGGAGCCGGACCTCTTCCTCTTGCCGTTCCTCCATGCTCCTCTTCTCTTCCCGGGCTCGCTCCTCACTGCACAGTTTCTCCTGCTCCGCCTGCACGAGCCTCCTCTCCCAGAATCCTCTCTGCTCCTGCAGCCGCCGGCGTTCCTGGTGGAGCTGGTGCAGGAGGCGGCGCTGAGCTTCACCGTGCTGCATCTTCATGTGAGCGAGCTGCTGCTCTGACTCCTCCCTGCTCCAGGAGACGCAAAACCAGCCAAGCGTCCATAATTCAACATGCACGTACAACAACAACAACAGGAACTGTGTCGGTTCATTTTATTTTGAAAAAACAGGAACTCAGAGCACCTAAGCCAGGGGTCGGCAACCTTTAACACCCAAAGAGCCACTTGGACCCGGTTTCCACGCAAAAGCAAACACTGGGAGCCGCAAATAGTTTTTGAAATCTAAAACGAAGATAACACTGTATATGTTGTTGTTTTACCTTTATGCTTTGTGTGAACAACTAAAGTAAGTAAAGTTTATTTATTAAGCGCTTTTCACAGACAGGCAGTCACAAAGTGCTGCACACAAATATTAAAATAAACAATACAATCAATAGACATTATACACAATGTAAAGAATTTAAAATACGTGGATCAACAAAAGGCTTGTTTGAACAGAAAAGTTTTTAACTGCTTTTTAAAAGAATCCACAGAGCAACTAAGGTGTGCTGTGCTTATGAAATCCATGAAGTGCTACAGAGAAAATTACATTTTATTTATGTAATTAACACATTTTGAACTCTTAAAGAAATATAACAAAAGGAAAGCTGAACTAAAATGATCCAGCAAACAAAAACTGTTGTGAGCCACCCTTATATCGCCTTTGGGCTTTTGGAGCCTTGACCTGACTTTTAAAAAATAATTGGAAAAAAAGCACTATGCTGCTGAAAAATGAAAAATAGATATTTGCAAAATTCTGCCTAAATATGTATTTTACCTGGTTAATGTGTGTGGCGGGGCGTGGTCTGCAGCGCCGCTGCAGGGGGGGGGCACCTGAGCGGCACCCGCAATGGCGGGGCGTGGTCTGCAGCGCCGCTACAGGGGGGGCGGACTCATCTGAGCGGCACCCGCAATCACGCCTCGCCGCCTTAACCTCTGCGCTCTCTCTGCTGTTGTGTTGGTATGTGTCGGGCTGTGAGCTGCAAAGCTACAGCCGGCTGTGTGCGCACAGCAACCGTGTGTGAAAAGCGTGTTCATGCAAACATCGTCGGGTCTGCCGTGATATGTTTACAACGGGACTTCTGCTCCTGAACCTCTGCGCACAGCGTCTGCAGGTCGGGGCTGTACGAAGTCACTTTCATCTTTACAGGACTGTAAGCTGTCGTCTGTGAGGCGTGAGCGGTGTTTGTTTTTAACATAGTTCACGGTGGAGAACAGCTGCTGACATAATGTGGATCCGAAGATCCATAATTGGCCTACCTGGGGTTGAAAGTCTCGATAAATGCACGGCGTTTCGGCGGGTACACCGGCTTCCGCGAGTGTGACGCTTATTTTGAGCGATGAAAAATAATAAAATATAATTTTATTTTTATATTTCAATATCACAATAATCTTCCAGTTTAGAACTACAAGGTAAAAAAGAAACAAACAAATAAAATACACTTCAGCTAAATACTTTAATTTATTTTCCCAAACCACGCGGAGCCGCAAAATAAAGACTAAAGAGCCGCATGCAGCTCCGGAGCCACGGGTTGCCGACCCCTGGCCTAAGCTTTTATGTCTCAGAGCTTTTATTTTGATAGTCACAGGAAGGCTGCTAAACTAAGTGTGAGGTTTGAATGGGTGGAGTGTCGACCGTGTGAGACAGACTCAGGTAAAGAGTCGAGCTTCATGATTGGTTTAAACGTTTGATGCAGGGTCAGGCTACATGTCGGCACTCAGTGATGATGTCATCGGGTATCATCACACCTCCGCTGACGTTTTTATGAGGTCATCACCTACCTGACCAGCATCACCTCCTGATCCATCTTCAGCTTCAGCTCCGCCTCCAGCTGGTCCTTCTCAGCGCTCAGCCGCTGCACCAGGTTACCGATCTCTCTGGCGAAGTTCTGCTCCAGCTCGGCGCGCTCCCGCTGCATCCTGGGAGCATAACCGGGGTCAAAGGTCAGAAACAGAGCGGGTCCCACAGCCTGAGGTACAAATCCTCAGATAGGTAACGTTACCTGCGCTCCTGCTCGTTGCTCCGCCCTCCTCCATGCTGGATCTGAGTCTGCAGTTTGTCCACGGTCTCCTTCAGCTGCTTCACCTGCTGCTCCACCTGAGACTTCTGCTCCTCCAGCTCGCTGATCTCCAGCTGACACACAGGTGAGAATAAAACCAGAAAATTTAAGTTCAGCTGCCTCCAAGGTTCAGCTCCACCTGCTGCACCTGCTGCAGCACCGTCCTGACGTGGATTTAAAGTTCAGTTCAAATGTGGAGGAAAGCAGGGATACTGGGAACCAGCAGGACTCCATTCCTTTAAACTGGGACATCTGAACAAAAGTGGAAACGTCAGAGACGAGCAGTGTGCAGCCGTCTCTGACGGTGTCCCGTCGCAGGAACTTTGTTTCTGGTACGACAGCTTTTAGTGCGACACCTTCCTTACCTTGAAGGCCTGAGAGATGTCCTTCCGCTCCACCTCCATGCTCTGCCTCATCTTCTCCAAGCTGCGCTCGTAGTAGTTCATCTGTGGAGGAGGAGGAGGAGCAAGTGTCATGGTCTGAAGGCTACACACTGCGTGCGATGTGTGTGTGTGTGTGTGTGTGTGTGTGTGTGTGTGTGACCTGCGTCTCCAGCTGGATGTTGAGCTGCTGCAGCTCCTCCTCGTGTTTCTGCTTCAGCTGTTCCAGGGCCAGTTCAGTCTGGATGCTGACGGCCGGGCCCGAGTCGTCCAATGAGCACAGAGCTGAGAGAGAGAGAGAAAGAGGGGTGGGGCTCCAATCAAAATTTTGGTTCACATGTTGCCGTAGTCGAGTTCCTTGGAATCGTTAGCCTGCCTGCTCGATCCCACTTATAGGTTCCTGCACTCTGGCTACGATCAGCTGATTCCAGGTGTTGCAGGAGAACAGTAACACGGTCAGCGTGGACGTAACTTTGAGTTTTATTGCACGAGAGCGTGATGGTGAAGCGGACACTGCTCCAGGACTGAAACAACTGCATCATACTGCAGCTAGCCAAGAACCCAGAGTGACGCTAAAGCCGAGTGAATGCTGACCCCAGACCAGCACCGTGATAAAGTGAGCCGCTGCTGAACTCAGCAGGTGACAGATGATGAGCCTCCGTTTCTACCTGTCCATATTTCTACAGTAGAATCACCATGACGACCGCTTTGAAGTCTCATGTCTGATTTGTGTTCATACATGAGTGAGGTCACGTGTGTTGGTGTATGTGGGGCTGCAGCCTCAGGTGTTTATTGTTAAATGGTGATTATGAGACAGCGCGTTTCATTTTACAGAGAAACATGTAACGAGCAGTATAACGAGTGGGAGTAACTAAGTAATCACAGGAAGTCTCAGGAGGCTGGCTCAGCCAATCACATACAGCCCTGTGTGACTGAGTGTGTGTGTGTGTGTGTGTGTGTCACCTGCTTTATCAGCCGGCTCCAGTTTCTTCCTGACCCGAGGAGACGAGCAGTGCTTCACGCCCGAGTCTAAACAAAAACACAAAGACCAAACCAGCTCTGAGAAACCGGAACACACACACACACACACACACACACACACACACACACACACTTACCAAGAGACATGATTAATTCACACCGAGACTGAAACCTGTGGGTCTGTGTGTGGGCGTGTCCACACCTTACCTGTAAATCCAGTTAAAGTCTCTCAGCAGGTTTTACAGCCTCATGTTCACGTCAGACAAGAAAACATGAACCAACCAATCGACCGATCGGTGATCTGGACATTTGTTTGCTTCTCTCTCATTTTTGTGTCTGACAAACTTTCGTGAGAGTTTTTGTGCGTCTGATTAGAGGAGATAAAACTGAGCAACCAGCAGTCAGCTTTGACATCAATAGCTGTGTCCAAATTCATGGGCTGCGTCCCCCTGAGGACCCGGCCTTCGTGGTCTACGTGGGCCGGGTCCTCAGAAGACCTTTGAATTTGCGTCTCGGTGGAATTTAAAAAACTCGGCCGTCTCACACTTCTGTTTAATCAGTTTTCTGTTTGACGTTTATTCAGCTGTGTGAAAACCACCCGGGGGATTAATAAAGTTTTATTTAATCTAATCTAATAACTTTAATCTCAGCCAAACTGATTTACTCACAAACAAACAAAACACTGAAAAAGCCAAACAATAACATTTTTAAGTTATCCGAGTGACTCGTATATCATGTTTAACCTGAGTAGCGAAGACCACGGGGGGGCCTGACAACGATGTGCAGGGAGTTCGCTGTTGTCCTGGGTCAGCTGTCGAGCTGGTGGGTAACAGACGTGTCTGAAAACATCGAAGCACTTTTGCAAATATGTGATGTCCTGATAAACTGAGCAGATATTTGAGGTTTACACAGCTACATTCTCGCCTAAAAATATGTTAAAAGTTTATTTTGTGACCCAGAAAGAATAATAAGAATAATAAGAGTAATATTAAAACTAACTAGCTGCCGCCATTGTTGGAAACTGAAATTGTCTGGTCCGCGCTATGAATTCTGGGATATGGTGGGCCACGAAGGACACACCCGACCCATCCTTCAAATCTGGGGAAATGAAGGACGCATTTGTCGGCTGCATTCGGAGGAGTCTACGAATTTGGACAGCCTTCAGCGCGTCGCTGTGACGTAATCAGATGCGGCCTCAGGAGGACGCAGCCTTTGGACACCCCCCCCAATGTGAATCGAGCGTTTTTATTGGACGGTTTTCTGCAATGTGAATCGAGCATTTTTATTGGACGGTTTTCTAGATTCAGGCACAGCGGCGCCCTCTCCTGACAGGAACGGGTTCACTTTAGTGCGTCTGTCTGCTGTTTTTCACAAAGCCTAGAGGGTGAACGGGTTTGTCGTGTCAGGAGCTTTTGTGTGTATTTGTGTGTCGTTGTGTTACCTGAGTCTGACTCCGAGTGTTGCTGGTTCCAGCTCAGCGCGTTGGCGGCTCCAGCACGCCGTCTGCACTTCCTGTTTCTCCTCTGATTCTTCAGCAGCTCCAACTCTGAGCTCAGCTCATCATTTCTGTCCTGCAGCTCCTGAACGCGACACACACACACACACACACACACACACACACACACACACACTTTCAGTGCTGATACACACAGTCCTGTACCTGCCTAAATGCAAATACAGAGGAAACAGCTGTTTGGCTGCAATGCACATGTGACACGATGATGTCCAAACAGCTGTTTTTACAGCTGCCCCCCTGAGGCTGGTGACTCGATGAATTGATCCTCAGCAGCAGAGATGCTCTGGCAACCAGGCTCACAGCTGCCTGCCTAACGAGCTCACTCTGCCAAGATTCATCTTAAACACGTCTCTTTCAACTGCTGCTGTGTCCAGTGTTTGCTCTACAGCCATCATTTTACCCTCAACGTCGCCATCGTTGTTCTCTTTCCAACACCGAGTCTTTCAAAGCTCAGAGATGCAAACGTTTTAAACTGTGTGGATCCAAGTGGAGGGATCACATTGAATCACTGAATGAGTAAAAAGAATGTGAACTTTTAATATTCATTCAGATGTTTTCTGACTTTAAATTTTCTTTTCTCATTTCTTAGGTTTTTCTAATTTACAATTAAAACATTTTCAGCTATTTTCCAACTTCTTCTTCTGTGTAAACGTCAACGTTTAGCAGTTCAGCACCTTTGTTTTCAGGTTAAATTCTGTTTTTTTTATCTCATTCAAATTTTTTTAACTTAAAATTCAGCAATTAATTCATTTCAGTGCATACATTCAGATTTCAGCATTCACACTGCAGTTTCTTCAGAAAATGCACTTTCTAGTTTATATTTGCTGTGTAATTAAAATTACATTTTAATTTGAAAGGACTTCCTGTCATCCGTTTCCTGGGAAGCCTTCACCTGCTGTGGTCTCTACACGGCCTCAGTATTAACGTTTGCTGCCTGCCTGCGTTTGATTGGCTGAGAGGACACATAGTCCAACACTTCACAGCTTACATTCAAAGCTGCAGACCGCTGCCTCATCACCACACCAACACTCAGGTCTGTAAATGAAATGTGCTTCAAACAGATTGTTTCTGCAAAATCATCGTGCCCTTCAAAATAAAAGCGTGACAATTTAAGGCGGTCGGTCTTACCCGGCACTGCTGCTCGTACTCTTTGATGATTTCAGAGAATCTTTCCTCATGACTCAGACCAACGCTGGACGGGTCCAAACCGCCAAACTGCCAAAACAAAAACAGCAGTCAGTCGATCATCAGCTGCTTTAAACCGAAACGTAAAGTCACGGAGAAACCAAGTCAGAGGAAAGCTTCATTAATCATTCATCAGAAACAAGCTGGAGTTACCCAACACCAGCTGCAGTGTGTCATCGACACACATGCACACACCCACACATCAGAGTTTATGGTCTGACGTTTGGCGTCTCGCTGTAGCGCGTCTTACATCCCTCGCTAACAGCGCTGTCAGGTGTGTGAATTAAAGCTGCTACATGTGATCTAGTTATGGAAACGCATTCTTTTCTTTCCGTGCATCACGTCACCCAGAGCACCTGTGTCCTGGGTCACTTACCCAGAGTACTGGGGTACTGCAGGGGTACTGCAGGGGGCCCCACAGTCAAACAAATAAAAGCTGTAATTCATTATATTAGCTTTGATACTAACGGCTGTTATAAGGAATACTTCACCAGCAGTAAGTTCATGATTGATCCACAACCTTTAAAATTACAATCAGTGAACTCTGTTCATCAGGTTTTCTGTTCGTGAACGTTTTTAATTTTCCGTGTGATCCCGTCTGAATCCAGCCCTGAGTCCGAACAAGGTCTGAAAACAAGAGGAGGAAATGCTTCATCTGCAGTCGCGATCCACGTAGAGACCACCAACCAGCTTCGCGCTGTAGTCACCTGCAGCTTTTATTTTGAAGGCGCTCAGGTCACGTGAGATTGCCAGACGAGGTGCAGGAAGTGGCGGTCACCCGCTCATCTTCACTGTGACATCACAGAAGCGATCCAATCACCTCTGGCGAGTCTCACGGAGTGTGGAGCAGCAGCTGACCCACTCTCCACCGTCTTACTCGTTTCTCCCACTTCAGGTAAACTCCGCCTCCTTTCCCTTCACGCCTCACTCCTGCTCCCGTCTTTAAATCTGATAAATTTGCTGAACAAGTTGGAAGACTTTCAAACTCTTCTGTCACAGTTTGCTGGCTGAAAACATTTTTTCCTCATTACAGCCGGGAGCTGCTGTCGCTCGTTTAACGACAAAACTGGAAGAAGAACAGATAAACTCTGGGACGCGTGACGTAAGATTAGGTGTCAGAGGCGCACAGCGTGAGAACGGAGCCGACTGATGACGCTGTGAGTCAGACCGAGCTCTGGCCGTAACCTGGCGTTTAACCTCGGCGGCGGCGTAAAGGCTTTCTTTGCTCACCTTGTCACTCAGCATCTGGTCCAGGTCTCTCTGCAGTCGCCTCGCTGAGCCTTCGGCTTCAGTCAGCTTCATCTTCACAGCGTTCAGCTCCTCCTCCAGACGACCGTTCTCCTGAAACGACAGGACGCGCTCAGCGCTTCACGCCTCTGATTTTCAATAACCGATCTAAACGACTGATCACAAACTGCTCGTCCTGATGGGGACCTGTGACTAAACATGACAGAGGAGAAGCGGTGTAGCACACCTGCACGGCGCTGCAGAGCTCCTCCTGTAGTTCCACCTCCTGCGCTCTGAGCAGCTGCAGCTCCTCCTGCAGAGCGCCGCGCTCTCGCTCTATGTGCTGCAGCAGCGCCTCGCTCTCCTGCTCTGTCTCGCTGCGCAGAGTCGTCAGCCTATCGCGGAAGTCCTGCTCCAGGTCCCTGCCAATCACAGAGCGGCTCGTCAGCACACGTGCACACGGCGGCAATCGTGCTATCAGTGTAGAGCGCAGCAGGCACAGAGCCCGACCCTTACCTGATCCGGCTCTGGTTGAGTGTCTCCATGCTGGCGTGCCGGTCGTCCACCTCTCTGACCAGCTGCAGATTCCTGCGGTCGGCCCGCTCCAGGTCGGCCTTCACCTTGTCGCGCTCCCTGCAGGCCTGCTCGGCCACCTCCCTGAACACAGACGACAGAGAGCTCAGGGTTCAGCTCCTCGTCACAGAGCTCTGCTCCGTCACTGCGGAGGTCAGAGCAGCACAAACATCATCGTCACCAACCAGCTACCAAGAGCTTCAGACTGAAGCTCAGAGCACTCCCAGAAATCCCAACATACCAGATCAATCTGTGATTATTACAGGTCATTATCAGTGGAGACATCAATAATCCAGGACAGGACTGTCTGAGGAGGCTAAACTCTTCTGATTTTAGTACTGAGCCTTAGATGAGCCCCTGAAATCTCAGTGTGGGAGAGAGGGAGGAGTTGTGACATCTAAATGCTGTGCTGTATGTAGGAATGAGGCGACATGAGGCACGAGCACAAAAACAACTGATTTAAAGTTAAACACAGGACACTAAATCCTAAACCTGCAGACGCAGCACAGGGCGCTGCTCCAGCCCCGCCTTGAGCAGCGCCCTGCGTTTCCTTGGAAAGTTCATCAAACCTACTGCAGGTGCTGGATCTCGATCTTGTAGGAGATGAGCGCCGCCTGGTGGATGCCGTTCCCGCTGACCAGCAGCTCGTTGTCCAGTGCCAGCGTCAGATCTGCCAGACTGAGGCGCTCCTCCAAGGGGAAGTCCAGAGTCTGCAGGGACATACACAGCTGGAGTCACTCACTCACATGCCATTATCAGGAACATCTGTCCAGCTGAGCCCGCCTCAGGTCACATGATTCAGTTCAACAATCATTAGAAGACATAGCATACATTTACACTGCTATGC